TGCTTAGCCACTGAGCCACATCCCCGGCTCTATTTTGTATTTTATTTAGAGACAGGGTCTTGCTAAGTTGCTGAGGCTGGCTTTGAACTTGTGATCCTTCTGCCTCAGCCTCCTGAACCACTGGGATTATAGGTGTGCACCACCGTGCCCGGCAGGAGCCAGGTCTCATGAAGTTGTTTGGATTACTCTTCGCATGAGGGCATGTCTGTGTAGCTGAGACCTGAACACCAGACACTGCGGACTCGAGTCAGTAGCCTGTGTGCAGACTCCGGCCACTTCCCAGCAAGCTGCATGACCTGTACAGGCTGGCACTTGCCTCGGGAAAATGTCAGTGGTCTCTACAGCACCTAGCTCCACACTCTGAGTAGTTGCCTGCTGTCATTGTTTTAATGGGTAACCTCTTTATTTAATCAGTACCTTTGTGCCATTTCTTCCTTTCTGCCCCCTGGCCACTTCTCAAGGACAGCCAGAGCCATGCCCAGTGCCTGCTCCTGAGTGTTCAGATGCCTCCTGCGGTTGGGCCTCTTTTTTTGGTACTGGGTATTGAGCCCAGGGGTACTTGACCACTGAGCCACCTCCCCAGCCCTATTTTGTATTTTATTTAGAGACAGGGTCTCACTGAGTTGTTCTTGCTGAGGCTGGCTTTGAACTCAAGGTCCTCCTGCCTCAGCCTCCCAGGCTGCTGGGATGACAGCGTGCAGTACTGCCCTGCATGTTGGGCCGTGTTTTTCTTTGCCTGCAGTGTGGAATCTCCTTTGCACCTGCCTTGCCTGCCTGCCAAGCCAGCTGTCCCTCCGTCTAGGGAAGCCCTGCTGTCCCCCAGCTGCTCCGCCAGGGCCTGAGCAGTCAGCCCAGATCCAGGGGGACTATGGAGTGTGGCAAGCCAGTGTCTCTTGATCCAGGAAGAGTTCTTTCTGTTCACATGCAAATAAAGTAGTCCCCCCTGATCTGTGTGGTATATTTTTGGACCCCCACCTGCCCCATGGACGCCTGAAACAGCAGTGGTACTGAGTCTTATATCCACTATGTCCCACCATTTAAGGGGGCACACAGGTTTACACCAGGATAATAGTGTCAGCTGTGGACCTTTAAGTACAGCTTTGTACAGAGCCCTGTGTCTTAGCTCCAGGTTCCTAACAAATGCCCCTTCAGCAGCACGCTAGTCGCTAGTCTCTGGGGTGGGTTAGTACAGTGCTGGTAACCAGAGAACACTGGCATGAGGTAGAGATGAAGGAACCAAACTCCAGCACTGGACTCTCAGGGAAAACCTCAACCTCACCAAGAATGTTTTCTGGGTTTTTTTTTTTTTTTTTAATTGGGTCCTGGGGATTGAACTCAGGGGCACTCAACCACTGAGCCACCTCCCCACCCCTATTTTGTATCTTATTTAGAGACAGGGTCTCTCTGAGTTGCTTAGGACTTCCCTTAAGTGGCTGAGGCTGGCTTTGAATTCGCCATCCTCCTGCCTCAGCCTCCGGAGTTGCTGAATTACAGGCTGTGCCACCACACCCGGCCAATGTTTTTATCCTGATGAAGAGTCAGCTTCGGAAAAACTTGTTGGCTTGCACATTGAACTTTTCAGAATGTGGTCATTTTCATTAGGTAATAATATATGTCACAAAATTAAAAAGCTGTAAAAAGGATGCTATTTCAGACACCAGCTTCCTGTCAACAAGGCATCCTCCAGTACCAGTTTCTTGTGTCTCCTGGAAAGGTTTCACATACAGTTCTCTACTTGCTGAAATGTGTGTAAATGGTAATTAACAGTCTTATTTTGGCAATCTTTCCAGTTTTCATAAACATTTTTGCCAAACTGCCCTTTTGTGGTCCTTCAGGAGGCTGGCCAGATTTCTGTTCCTGCCCACAGGCAGTGTGTGTGGATGCCTGTTTACCCACAACCTTCCTCGCACAGAACACTGTCCAAGTGCCTTTGATTTTTTTGAGGGAAAATATAGTACTTCATAGATTAAATGTGCACTTCTGTCATATTTGCAATCTCATAAAATTGGGCATCTTTGAGGTGAATTTAAAAATTCTTTCCAGTTCTCCTCTTAAAGTTTATGTATTGAATGCCGTGAATACCATTTAAGATTGTGTGTCAAAGTGTGATTAATTTAGCAGTTGATCTCCTGTGGCTTGTAGGTATTCTATTACTTAGAAAAGTCTTAGAACAGCCAGGATCACACGCATACTGTGTGTTTTTTTTTCCTCCACGTAAGATTAAAATGTGGACATAGGTTTAGAGAGATCTTGAATGGCTGCTGGGAAGGATATCAGAGGTTTTGTTTTTAAATCTTGGTAACAGGTAATTCCTAAGGGCAGGCTTATCTTTAGATCTTGCACAATTTTGAGGCAGTGCCTCCATCCTGCTGGACCCCGGGGGCGGGGCTGTCGTGCCTGCGCAGTGGGGCCTTGGCTGCTGCAGGGGCATCTTCATGGCTGCGCAGCTGGTGTCGTCCTGGCTGCGCAGTGGGTCCTTGGCCACCCAGTGGGGGCTTGGCCGCACAGGGGGCATCGTCATAGCCGTGCAGTGGGGACTTGGCCAGCGAAGGGGGCGTCGTCGTGGCCGCGCGGGGGGCGTCGTGGTCTTGCAGTGGGGCCTTGGCCGTCGCAGGGGGCGTGCTGGCCGCTCAGGGAGGGTCATCCTGGCTGCGCAGCTGGCGTTGTCCAGGCTGCGCAGTGGGGCCTTGGGTGCACCACTTGGTCGCACAGGGGGCGCAGTCTCGACCGCGCAGTGTGGACTTGGTGGCGTAGGGGGCCCAGTCGTGGCCGTGCAGGGGAACCTTGGCCGCACAGGGGACACAGTCGTGACCTTGCAGGGGGACCTTGGCCTCACAGGGGGTGTCGTCGTGGCCGTGCAGGGGGACCTTGGCCCGCGTAGGGGGAGGCGTCGCGGCCGCGCAGGTGGACCTGGGGCGCGCAGGAGGCATCCTGGCCTTGCCAGACGGCCTTGGCCACTCAGGGGGTGTCGTGGCCCTGCAGGGGGACCTTGGCCCGGTCAGGAGGCATCGTGGTCACGCAGGGGGTCCTTGTGGCTGCGCAGTGGGGCCTTGCGGCTGCGCTTGGGGTCATAGGTGCGCAGGACCGTGTGGCTGCGCTCCCTGCGCACGGGATGGGTTATGGTTGCCCAGTGGGTTCTTGGCCGCGCAGGGGTGTCATGGTTGCGCAAGGGTGTTAAGCCTGCCCGGGGTGTGCCTTGGCTGCCCACGGGGGTCTCGGCCGTGCACGCGGGTCTGGGCTGCCTCTGGTGCACGCCCAGGACCCTCCCCTCGCGAGCGCCTGCGGGCTGCAGCGCCCCCTGGCCGCGGGGCGGGCGGCTGAGGGCGGCGGACAGGCCCCGCCGTCCTCGCGCCGCGCCCTGGTGCCCTGGGAGTCCTCCTGGGCCTGCCCCGTGGCGCTCTGGCCCGCGGCCTCTGACGCCGCTGCGCGCAGCAGGCACCCTGTCTGTCCCGCGCCTCGCCGCCCACCCTCGGGACCTCCTCGGGGACCCAGTTCTGCACTTCCGGGTTGGCCCGCGCCTGTCTGTCATCCGGGGCGGCGCGGCGCGGCGCGGTGCTGTGCTGGGCGCGGCCCTTTAAACTTTCTGTTTTTAAACTTGGGGGTGTGGTCGCGGCTCCACCTCTCCTCTCTGCTGGCTGTCCCGACCCTCGGGTCCCTCTGTCCCCGCCCTCCAGATGCCCCAGCGTTATGAGCCGCCCGGGCGCAGGGTCCGCTCTGGTGGCCGAGGTGATCCAAGGTGAGGCGGGGGGGGGGGGGGCTCTGGGACTGAGGTGGCACTAGGGTAGGCATCTGGGCGCAGGGCTCACTGGTGGCTGAGGTGACAGGGCCGGCGGGAGGGCGCCCCTACATCAGAGGCACGGGCGGTGCCCACGAGCCCTGCACTCGCGGGCACCCTTGGGCTTGGAGAGGTGGGCGTCCAGGGCAGACCCCAGGGTCCGGCTTGGCGAAGCCTCCCAGGTGGACAGGCCCGTGTCCTCCCTGCCCTGCAGCCACCCCACGTCCCGAGCGCAGTCCTGGGTGCTGTGCGGGATCAGAGGTCGCTGGTGGTTGGAAAGGAGTGAGCCTGTCTGTCACCCGCTGCCAGGAATGTGGAGTTGAGTTTATGAGGAAATAAATGTAGCAGTTGGCGTGAGTTGAATCGCAGACCAGGGGGAAAAAAAAAGTTTACCACTGGGGGAAAGGATGCCAGCTGGCGCCCTGTTTCTTGTCTGAAAGTCACACGCGCTTTGAAGGCTGCCTTCATTTTTGCCACGTTTTGAGTGTAAGTATCCCCTAGCACCACTGGAGTTACTACCGCGTGCAGAGGACTTAGGCCACCTTTTTTTGGGTGGGGGGAGAAGGGTGAAGCTTCTGAACATAAACATTCTCGTGCCCCATACCCTCTTGTCTGCAGTTAAGAAGCACAAGTTCATCTGTCTCATTATGCAGAAACCTCTCATTTCTTGGGTTTTAATTAATATTAATTTGTCTTATTGTTTAAAAAACACAAAGTAGTGATTCCAAATTAAAAAAAAAAACAGCAATCCCTGCCAACAGTTGGGTAAACATATGGTTTGTTTGGCTGTTTTCTGCTAGCTGCGAACAGTAATTTTGAAAGCATTCTTACCGAAATGACTTTCCAGATGGCTGGAAGCTTGAGCTGAAGCTAGTAGTAAAGCACCAAATGTATGCTGTGCGGTCTTTGTTGAAATGTCTTAGTCCAGGGGAACTCAAGTTTTAGTTCCTTCAGAAGTCAGACCTTATCACTAGATGTGATGTCACTACTGATGAAACTTAGGTTTAAAGGCAATTTTTCCTTTAAAAATTTTGCTTATTCTTATCCATCCACAGTCAGAATATTTTGAAATTATCTTTTGCCACCACTACCATCTGAAACATGCATGGAAAAAAATAAGACTCTTGACTTTATCTGAGGAATAGTTGCACCATGCTATAGGAAACTTTTAAAATTTTATTTTAAATAACTTGAAGGAAGGAACATTGCAATTTTTCCATTTCAGATCGCCTTTGTTTTGCCATTCTCTACAGCAGACCAAAGAGTGCATCAAATGAACATTATTTCAGCATAGATAATGAACTTGAATATGAGAAGTAAGTATTGCTTTTAAAAAGATTTGTAACTTTTTTTTTTTTTTTGAACAATCTAAAGGTATGTTTATTACAAGCAAAGCCCTGGAAACTCACAAAACTGTTGGTTGCTCATTGCAAGATGCTTTTTAAAAAAACAAAAAACTAGTAATAAAATAGACCTTTAAGGAGGGAAATGAAAATGAAAGGCCTTTCCTATATTTAAACCTGTAGATTCAGTATTTAATAGTTTGCACTGCAATGAGACAGTGTATACTAAGTTAAACATGGGTTTCTCCAGTAGAAAATATGAATAGAAGAACAACTTGCTTATTTTGGAAGGTATTTTCATGTTAATTGAGGTTTCAGGGAGGCTGTGACCCCTGTTGTGTGTGTGTGTATGTGTGTGTGTGTGTGTGTGTGTTGTGTGTGTTACTTTGTTGAGGATGGAGCACCAGGGCCTCAAGTGTGCCAGACAGGTGCTCCAGCACTGAGTCACCCCCCAGCCCCCTGGTTGCTTATTTTCAGTAGGCATTGCTTACCGGAACTTGCCTACCACTAGAAGGGGTGCTTTGAATTGTGTGACCTGATCGGTTGGTTTGGTGGATGCACTCTGGTCCTTAATTTGATCTTATACACACACACACACACACACACACACACACACACACACAAACACAAAGGCATTTGTATTCAGAGTATTTAGAATATACATACATGCTTTTATTTTTTTATTTTTAAAGCTTCTACGCAGATTTCGGACCACTCAATCTGGCAATGGTTTACAGATATTGTTGCAAGATAAATAAGAAACTCAAGGTAAAGTCTTTTTTGTTTAAGATTTGACCTGAGTAATTATTGTTAATTTAGTCTTGGGAAGAAATTAAGGACAACTTCTCTTTTTTTTTTTAAGGTTTTAAAAAAAATTCATAGAGGGTTTGAAAGCATTCTTTCCCTTTAAGAATACCATTTCTTACTGAAATGACTTTTTTTAGGATGTCACTGTAGTGGTGTTTAGGACAAACATTTGTTTGTCTTGTAAAGTCATAGTGCTTATATTTATTTTCTAGAGTTTTGTTGGAACAGTTAAAATTTGGGCCAGCTGATTTAACTTGGGTTGCTGATGCTCAAATACTTGAAAAGTCAAAGTGGAGGTTGGTTAATTCAGTAAGACTCTACTGTCTGACTTAATGGCATGAGAAATTCTTTCCGGGCTTTGGTCATTGTTCTTTCTTTATTGTGATGAGGGATTGCTAGCAAACTAACAGGAAAAATGGGCTCTGCTATCTCTCCTGTCTTAGAATCCCCATTATATAGTACTAGTTGTGACTCTTTGACCTTGTATACTTCATGATTGAGGGGGGCAAAGACAAATGGCATATCACTGAAGATTATTTCTCTTGGCTTAAATTTTGACCTCATTCTTTTAGAAACTTTGCATTATTGGTCAGGCACAATTGGAAAGGTTTATGGTACCACTTGCAAGCAGTAATGCATTGGTTTACTGTATATTGTCTGCATTTGGGAAGCAGGTCTTTTTTAAAGAGTTGTTCAGTGGATTGTCTACCAGGCAACTTTACAAATTTTTTCACTTTCAAATTTTAATTTGCCTTAATTAAAAACGTTTGAGTAAGGAACCCCCTCCCCCCCAAGCATCACCTTGTATTCCTCCTGGGCTCCCTTAAATAGGAATGTGAACATTCCTCTTTTCACTTGCCAGTGGCAGGTATTTTGTTTCCCACAGGGCTGGGAAGCTGAAAATAATTCCTTTTATTTGCCCCTTCTTGTATTTCTTTGCTTTAATTTTGAAAGAGTCACTACTATGCCTAGCTGTCTCTGGACTCTTATCCTTTGGTCTGGGTCAACCAAAACCAATCTCAATTCTTTTTAAAAGTAGTTTACTAGGACGACTTACAATGTGAAGACTGTCCTGTTGTGCTACTAGATGGCTGATGGTTGGTTGGGTTGGTTGGTTTGGCACTGGGGATTGAACCCTGGGCTGCTCTGCTACTGAGCTACCTCCCCAGCTCTTATTTTAAATTTTGAGACAGAGTCTTGCTATGTTGCTGTGGCTGGTCTTGAACTTTTGATCCTCTTGTCTTTGCCTCCCAAGTGGTTGGGATTGCAGGCATGTGCCACTGCCAGGGCTTTGTTTTTTTAATTATCATATATATAATTTTTTTTAAATCAACTTGTGTCTCTTACTCTATGTAAACCAGTAAAGGAAACTGTGTCTGCATTCATCAAGAAAGCGCAGAATATTGAAACACTGGAAAATGGACTTAGAGAAGCCAGGCCAGATACACTCAGCTGAATGTGTCCCTTTCCCTCCTTCCCCCAGTTTCTTTTCCTCGCAGCAGTGAGGTGCAGCGGGGAAGTGCTCCTTTCACCTCTGACTGCCGTTTCTCTCTGTATTAAACTCTGTATTAGACTCTGAGTATGACGTGCATGTTGGGGTGCAGTGCATGCAGACCACGGGTGTGTAGCTCTGCACATGTGCAGACTGAATTCTTTGGGCAAGTGTCTTGAGCAGCAGTTCCAGGACAAAGTCAGCAGCCCCAGAGGAGCCCACTGGAGCCCCCTCCACGGCCCCTCCCAGGATTCCACTCTTCGGGTTCTAGGCGGCGTGGAGTATTTTTGCACTGTTCTGTAAACTCTTGTATTTTTGTGTGTGTGTGGTGCTGGGGATTGAACCCAGGGCCTTGTGCATGGGAGGCAAGCACTCTGCCAACTGAGCTACAGCCCCAGCCTCTACCTTTGTGTTTTAACATAGTGGTGCTTGGATTACTTGAAAAAGCGAACAGGAAAGAGAAGTTGTGTGGCAGAGGTGCCGTCTCCTTTGTTGTTGCCTTTTAGACTTTGAGACGTTTGCTTACACACCCACACACATGACCAGTTGTGGACAACGTGGAGACCCGTGGCTGAACATCACAGCCTGGGAACGCCCAGCACTGTGAGCGGCTGTGGCATTCAGATTGAGCACGGTCCCGAGGGTCCTTGGTTTTACGGCCCTGCAGGTCCTCTTGGAAATGAGCCAGCGGTGGGCTGTCAGCCTGGATCAGGACGCGTCTCTGTCCCTTTAGCCTCATGTTCATCCGTGCTTCAGAACATGCCCTTTGTGGGAAGGTGCCTGGTATCTTTGGGTAGCAGTGTTGGTCTTTCCCACGGCCTTGCTAACGTGTGTGCTTCTCTGGTGAGATTGTGAATTTGTGTTATCACGAAGTGAAGTTTTAGAAAACTCAAAAAGGAAATGCTAACAACTATTTATTTTCACGCAGTCCATTACAATGATAAGGAAGAAAATTATTCATTTTACTGGCTCTGATCAGAGAAAACAAGCTAATGCTGCTTTCCTTGTTGGATGTTATATGGTAAGTACTTCACTAGTTTCCTGACCTATTCATAAAAACGTATACTTCGGTGGTTCTTTAAATCTCGGGTGGAATTTCGAAGTCACTTTTTCTAAGGTTCTGTCTTGGTTTGTTTCTAAAAACAAACCAAGGGCATATATTTTGCTTTTTATAAACCAACCAGCTGGGCCAGGGTTGTGGCTCAGTGGTAGAGCGCTTGCCTGGCATGTGTGAGGCACTGTTCAATCACCAGCACCGCATTAAAAACAAACAAAAAAACCCTAAATAAACAAAACAAAGGTATTAAAAAAAAAAATTGACCTGCTGAAGGAGACGGTGCTTAGGTGGGGGTGGGGAGCCTAGGGAGAGTTTTCTTAAAAATAAAACAGAACACTGGGTAAATGTTGGAAGTGAGTAACTGCTTTTCAAATCTTACTGCTCTTCTCCCTGCCTCCGGGGTGCTGGGGACTGAGCCCAGGCCCCAGGCATCCCAAGCAGGCACCCACCAATCCATCCACCACTCAACGGCGCTTCCAGCCCTCTGCTGTTGCTTTTTTTAAACTACTAGTGGGGAAAAAAATAACCTCTTGGCATAGTTATGGACAGTTTCTTGTCATGTTTGTTCCCAGCTGGGTGTGACTTTGACTGTTCTTGGTTGTGTCTTGGCACACAGAAGCTTTTTTTTTTTTTTTTTTTTAAATGATTAATGTGCTCGTATTTAGAAATCCTTCAGGATTTTGCACTTTTGGTTGGTTCTGGGTGATTGGTTAGGACAGCGCCAGGGTAAGCTGATTAGGACATGCACTCCAGTTTGTTCGCCCAGCTCTGCTCAGATCCCAGCCAGAGGATTACAGTTTGGCTGTGACAAGCCTTTGAAGCCCTCCCCGGCTGGAGAAAGGAGGAGGTTGGAGCAGCCCTGATGGTCTCCTAGGAGCAGGAGAGAGTGGAGGAGGAGTGTCGGGTATGAGGTGGCCGGCCCCGGAAGGTAGAGCGCCCAAGCCATCAGCGACACTTTGACTGGTCAAAGTCCAGTGAGCTCTCTGTTGAAGCCTGGTAGAGATGAGTGATGATCCCTATAAATTCACCTGCAGCTCCGATAACCTTTGCTGGAGTCGTGGAGGAATTTTACAGGTGGTAAAGAGTTTTCACAGTCAGCTTGCCTGGCGACGTTAAGACCAAAAACCCAGAGGAAGAATCATTAGGAAGAAAATACTCCGAATGGACTGTCCACTTCATCCTTCCTCTAAACTCCGGGCTTCTGTAGGGATCATGGTCTGTTCATCATTGTATGTGTAAAAAGACTTGACAGGGAGTGGGGAGAGGATGTCCCATGTGTCCTTTTGGATATAAAGCATTCATACTTTATTATTTATCTTAAAACAAAAGAGGTTGGGCTTCAGAAGGTTTAAATAGGGACAGTCATGCCCGGCCTCCGTTAGCCCTTCTGTCGGTTGGTCGGACGGTCGGTGTGCTGTGTATTAGATTCCTTTGTCTTAAGTGCATTTCAAAGTTTTGCCCTTTTCGTGGCCTGGTAAGTGGCTTTCCTAGTTCACCCATCTGGTGGGAGAATCTTTGGTAATTGAAAGCAGAATGAAGCCAAAATTCTTCTGCACCTCTGTGAAAAGAGTAGGAACTCAAAGAGGTTTTTTCCTCTGCAAAAGAATAAGTGTGCCCTATTGTTTCGTGAAATGGGGAACTTGTCTCTATTCTATGGATGTGCCACTGACTGCTTCCTATTTGCTAGATTTTGGGGTCCCAGTGCTTAGCCTTCTCATGCCAAACTAAAGGTGAGATTGGAAATGGAAATGGAAATGCTTTGTAAAGCAAATTCATGATTAAAACACAGTTTGTAAATTTTGAAATTCTGTTTTTGTAAAAAGTAATATCATGCACAAAAACCTATATTTGCACCCTTGAGAATTTTAGGAAGAACCTTTATATTTTATAGAAGCAGGACATATGTATGCAGTCATGTACATGCATGTTATAGGTTTTGTGTTTATAAGCAGTTTTATTGCCTGCTTCTTTTTTTAGTCAGTGATCTGTTCTTTTGTATTAGTACATATTTTATCATCTTTATGCCCAGATTGTATTGGTGTTTTCCATATTGGCCTCAAACGTCCAAATGATCTAATCTGCAACCACATGCATGAGGCTCAGTGCCTTTGCCATCTCTTCTTGATAGGATCTTTTTTTTTTTTTCCTTTTTTAAATACCAGAGATTGAATCCAGGGGCATTTAAGCCACATCCTGAGCCCCTTTCATTTTAATTTTTAAAAGAATTTAAGCTTTACTTTTTCTTCATTTGTTTTTATGTGTTGCTGAGGATGGAACCCAGTGCCTCACCCGTGCCAGTCAAGCGCTCCACCACTGAGCTTCAACCCAGCCCTGCCCCCTTTATTTTTTATGTTGAGACAGGGTCTTGCTAGGTTCCTTAGAGTCCTGCTAAGTTGCTGAGGCTCGCCTTGAATTTGAGATCCTCCTGCCTCAGCCTCCTGAGCTGCTACCGTTACAGATGTGTGCCACCAAGCCTGGCACAATCACTTCTTGATGGCACTGACTTATCAACGGGGCCAGCCTTGGCATCTGGTAGAATGGTCTCTTTGCTTTTTGAGTTTCACTTTTTTTCTTGTGGTTTCTTTTAACTCCACAAAGCTACTCCATTCTGTGTATTTCTTGTGTACTGGAAGTTAAAACAGAGGCTTATCCATTAACAGTAAAGGTTGCACAACATCAGAAAACATGAAATACTTGGATCACTATTAACAATGCTGAAAATGACCACTGGGTTGTGGGTAACCATCCAGCCCCTCAGTGTGTGCCTTTCTCCTGTGACTCACAGCCCCCTACAGGTGGGTTTGGGCATCGTCACATCAGCTCTCAGTCTGGTGTTTTAAACAGCAGTTTATAAAACAGTGATGCTTTGGCCAGCGACGGGCCGTGGCCGCAGGTTGCAGGGCTCAGTGATGTCTTGTGGTGTCAGCACACCCTGTGATGTTTGCACAGTGGTGCAATCACCTGAAGGTGACCCTCAGACCTCATCCCGGGGGTGAGCTGTGCCCCCTGCGCTTGCCCACACCAGGCTCCCCGGGGGCTCGGTGCGTATTCCCCTCGGCTTTGTTGACTCCCTGGCTTTCTTTTAAGGGAGTCAAGCTTTCCTTCTTCCAGTTGGACTGTTGGTCCCCCTACCAAGTGTCCAAATGAACAGGCCGAGTGAACGGTCATTCCCCTCTAATTGCCAGTTTTCAAAGGAAGGAGTTTTGATTGCTGCAGAACAAGAATTTTATGACCTGTTTTAAAATGATCTAAACAAAGGCTGGGTGGGTTTTGAACACATCTGCTAAACATTTTTTACAATGCACAAGAAGGGGCTGGGGCTGGGGCTCAGCGGTAGCGCACTTTCCTGGAATGCATGAGGCACTGGGTTTGATTCTCAGCAATATATATATATATATATATATATATATATATATATATATATAAATGTCAATCAACAACTTGTATATATATATATATATATATTTTTAAAGATGTGCAAGAAAACATCTCATTAGCTTTTGGGGAGTTGGGGATTTTCTAAATGAATGTGCATCTTTGCTGGGTGGGATTAAACAGTGAGTTTCATGTCCATGAGTTCAGCCAACCGCACATCAGAAAATACCTATTTTAAAATTGCATCTGAAAGGGCTGAGGATGTGGCTCAGTGGGAGAGTGCTTGCCTGGCCAGAAGGCGGCCCTGGGTTCCAGCCCATCGAGACGTGTGCGGAGCACACAGAAGCTCTTTTTTTTCACTGTTCCCTGGATCATAGACTGCAGTAACTATTTAGATAGCATTTGTGTTGTTTTAGGTGCTGAAAGAAAATTTAAACCACATCAGAGGATGTGCATGGGCTGTAGGCAAATACCATGCCTTTTGATATAAGGTTATTTATTTATTTTTTTAATTGAGGGAAGTTCTGGGACCAGTCCTAAGGATCAAGGGAGAGCTACATGATCTTTTGGTTGGCTAAGCCAATGATATACTTACCACATTTGTATTTAGGAATCAAAATTTTGTTGTTGTTGTTTTGGCAGCCATTCAAGAACTGAAGTGATTTAAAAATCACTTCAAGAATTTTTTAAAAAATGAAGCATATATCAGTTACATTAACTTTAAATTGTTAATTTTTTTCTTTTTTTTAAATTGGTGCATTATAGATAATTGTCACTTTATCACAAAGTTTTAGATGTGTACTTTTTAATGGAGGTGGTGTGCTGGGTCTAGTAGTAGGTAGGAACAACGATTTCTAGTTGCAGAAAAACATTTGAGGGGCTGGTGGTGTAGGTCAGTGGTAGAGCATGTGCTACCTACCATGCCCAGGGCCCTCCGTTCAGTCCCCAGCACTGGGAAAAAAGAGAGAGAGAGAGAGAGAGAGTGTGTGTGTGTGTGTGTGTATGTGTATGTGTGTGTATGTGAGAGAGAGAAAAAGAGAGAGAGAGANTGTATGTGTGTGTATGTGAGAGAGAGAAAAAGAGAGAGAGAGAGAGAGAGAGAGAGAGAGAGAGAGAGAGAGAGAGAGAGATTGAATGATTTGAAAGAGACCGAGGATTGGTAGATGGCGTTTAGTGATTTAGTGAACTGACTTCAGAGAATTCAAGTTTTCCTGCTGTACAACATTACTGAGCTCTTCTACAGATTAAATGTACATTTGAGGGCTAGTCTGGAAAATTAACCACCATTTCTAACATTTTTCTGTGTGTAAAGTAAATGCAAAGCATTCTGAGTAAAAAATATATAACATAAGCAAACTGTTGGCATATAGCTTGCAAATTTGCTGTTTTCTAGTATTTGAGAGATAACTTTGGCAGAGGTAATTATGGTAGTAACGTGTCCGTTTCCCTGGTCAAGTTTTATTTCTATATATATTTTTTAAGTTTTCAGTAGTTTTTATAGCTTTGGAATGACTTGCCGTGTAAACATTTATAGGGATAATGATGATACTAATTAAATTCTAAGAGGATGTTAACTCCGCAGTCTGCAA